TAGGCCTGCCCACTAATCGTTCCAACCAGAGCTCGCCGTTCCGACATCCCTCTCGTCCCCTCCTCTCCCTCACTTTCTCGGCGCATTAATTTAATTTGCTAAACCTTAACCCTTCGATAGCCTAGGTGGTGCGCATTTGTCCCCTTGTCGTCCGCTCGTCCTCGGCTTAGAATCATGTGTAACACGTTAACCAACTCGCATGTTTAAGAACGTTGTCTTCTATTGGTAGGACCGCTGACTGTAGAAGAAAATATTGCGGTAATTCAAGGGTATAGTCAGTGACGTGTAACGAGTTTAGGAGAAGCTCCTCCCGCGTCTTTCTACTTTAGCAGAGCGAACGCTGGAGAGGAGGCGACCTCCGTCTCCAACCTTCTCCCTGCTAAAGTGGAAAGGGGTGAGAGGAGCTTCCCCTGAACTGGTAACCTGTCATCGACTATAGCTGCTTCAAACCCGGCTCGACGGATGGAATTTTTTGTTTTCTTATAAACTCAGCGGCGGCGGCTAGGAGCGATCGCGAAGGTTGCCCATGGAATTTTCCAGGGAGGTTACCACAAACATCTGGCGCTGTAAAAAGAGGGCATTCCACTAGAATCTAAATTAGCCACTTATACGTAATTAATTTTACTTGCATTACAATATGTAAGCCTCGTCTAAGTGCTTCACCAAATTTACTTATTGAAAGCCATCAAAGATTTTCAAAATTGGGGTTTAGGAATTTGTATTTGTTCTCAAGATCGATACACAGGAAGAGTATGACCGCGGTACATGAAATATACATACGGACGGCAGAAATTGTGAAGCTTGCGGATAATAGTACGCTTAAAATGGATGCACGAACTTTAGAATGGGAACCTTAAACTCAACACAAATCATTATTTCAAAACGTTTGTAGTGGGAAATGTCCTATACATCAAAGCAATTTATTTGATACGGATAAGAGAAAGTAGAACTTGAACGAGCGGCCTCGGTGCGGGCGCTGCGGTCCTCTGCTGCGGAAACGAATCTGATACTTCTGTTTACACAGAAACTCGCGCCCTCCGACGGCTGAATGGATGGATGGATGGAGGAGATAAAAACGGCTGCATCCTTTATAACTTTATAACTTGCGCCACCTAGCCTAGAAGCAATAACAGCAAACATTTGTAGGAAACTTTTGGGAAATTGCGTTATACGCGAAAAGTTCTGGTATTGCTCCGGAACGTTACCGAGCCCGGCGCCTATATGCTAACGGCCCTCTTCATCAGATAACTTAACACGTTGCATAGAAACTTAAAAGTAATTCCTGGGCGTTTTTTTTTTTTTCGCTTCTTCTTGGTATTTTTTTGGTCACGTGACCTCCCCCATCCGCGAATAGACTACTTCCATAAAGCCCTGCATGCAACACGGCGCGCGTTGCACTCTGGGAACTAGTTGGCCAGGGAGGAGGGTGGCATGGTTTCGGTTTCGATCGACACGTCGACAAGAGATCGTTTTCTGGTCCCGAGAGCGTCATTTGAGGTCTCTAAACTAACCTAAATTGCCAGACCTCGAAGCTTTAGTACAAGCCTGAGACGTATAGCTCGTCTTAACATATGCTTGTTGTATTTTTGTACTTGAGCCTTCCTGTTAGCGTTTCAATCAAGGTATGTGGACGAGCCAAGGCTGGGAATCTCGACGCTGCGAAGCTCGGGGATCTTGCTTGTGTACGAATCAACAAGCTGTAGCAACCAATTAGTACGCATACATCGAGCTCGCGCCTTTACATTAGTGTTGTTGATCAGGAAGTTTGTTTGTTTTGTGCGTCCATAGACGAAATATTACCTTTTGCAATTACTGTTTTTCTTAATATGCCTGAGTATGCGAGGTAAACCTCGGAGGCGCCATTGAAAAGCTCTTCTTATCTCTTATCTGTACTGACCCGCAGCACTGCAAGAAGTGAACTCCCCACCCGCTTGCTTTCCACTAATATTCAACATCCCGTATGCGCACAGAGTTATCCTGCAATCATATAGGCACGTTCGCACATACAGACCGTTTTAAGAAAGCTAAAGTCGAGCACTTGTGTGAAGAATGTCGCACCGTTCGCCGGAAGTGCGCCGGACGGGCATGAACCCCTATGCGCACCGCATAGGGGTTCACGCCCGTCCGGCGCACGGTGCGACATTCTTCACACAAGTGCTCGAACGAATTCAAAGCGCATTTGACGGTTGCTAATGGCCATAATATTTGTTATATGTTTGTTTTCTTCCTGCCTGAATATGCCGAGATAATTTCAGACACACCGTTCAGGCACAGATCTTGGGCGTCAGTAAAAGCTCGTGCAAAAAGGCTTAGCGACGAGTAGGGGACGCTTTTAGGGCCTCCGTCGTAGCTAGCCGATCTCAGCGTTTGCGAAAAGTTAATCTTCTATCAGCATAAAATTCGAGTGGGAGATATATGATGACAGGAGGAAGACATCATAGTAACTTTTGTGCAGTATTGAGGTCTAATTTATTGCATTTCCCTAAAAGTTCATGCGTAAACGCTGGGCTTAACTTTGATACCCTGTGAGGATGCGGCTTGCTTTTCGCCCAATGAAGTAACAAGAAGCGGACGTTTGGCAAACGAAATACGTGTAAGGCTCCATATGAACAAATTTCAGTTCTAGTTCACTGGTACGAGACGGGATTATTGAAATTGAGCTCAAACATGCACTCGAGGGGTGAGGTGACTAAGCCACGACTTACTACGTTCGCATACGCACGCACAATATCCGGTGTTTCGGGAACCAAGGAAAGTGCCCCGGTCTTCGCTTCGTATCGCTCGAGAATAAGTGTATTGTACGTTCGTGAAAAGTCAGATAACCGAAAACGCAAGCAGCGCGTTCGGTCGCGCCGTGATAGCATGAGATGAAGCTGCTCAGTCGAAACCGAAACTGAGTGGCCAACTAGTTCCCAGAGTGCATTGCGTGGTATTTCGCCGCGATGGGGCGCGTCGGTTTTGGAAGTAGTCCATTAGCATCGAGCTTCGCGGCTTCGCGTTTATCTCCGCTTCACTTTTGAGCTTCATCGAAATCTGAACACCCGCCTGACTAGACAGTGAACGTTTCGCGTTAAAGCCTGATTTCCCCATTTCCCTTTCCAAGCCAACGCGTTCCTGTGACTATCACCAGGTCATGAAGGTGGCCGCCAGGCAGACGAAGCAAAAAGGATCAAGGATTAAGCAAAGGATCAAAGGATCAAGCAAAAAAGAAGAAAACATTTCCTTCTCCTCCCCCCGGCGATTGAGTCGCTAATTTTTCTCTGGTCGTACCGGTGCAAAAACACTGGTTGCCAGCCGCCGGACGCGAAGCCAAAACTAAACTGGTTCTACTGAGATATAAGAATGGGTCTGACGACATTCGCATCCTACACTTCGGACTTGAGTCCATCTAACCACACTAAGATGATCAGGCCATATAGCAGTAATACTGAAACAGGATAATAGTCGCGTTTCGCCGAGACCATATCTGCCTGGAATCCACCACCAGAAGTGATCCAAATTACCGAGGCACAACATATCCTTTTCCAAAGTACGCGCCATCAAGTCGGTTCTTTGCTAATTATCCGCATTTGCCATAGTTTAATCACGTACTCTGTGCTGGTATTGGACACGAGGTCTGGGACATCGTTCGGAGAGCACCCGGATCCAAGCACACAGCCAGTGTTGCTCGATGGGGTTTTAGAAAGGCTTTATCGTTTTCAGATGGCCTGACTGAACGCGTTAGTGACCTGAACTGTACAACTATACGACGCACTGCCCTAGTGAAAAAAATCATTTCTATGAGAAATTTCTCTTGTCCAATAAACACATATGAATCATACAAGATATATAAGAACATATAAGAACAATATAAGAACTATATAAGAAGTATATAAGAATTATATCAGATATCTAAGAACCATATTGGAAACGTATAAGAAACTTCTGACAAGTTTCTTATATGGCGCTTGGATGTTCTTATATATCTTATATAGTTCTGATATAGTTCTCGTATAGTTCTTATATGGTTCTTATATGTTCTTATATATCTTGTATGATTCATATGTGTTTATTGGACACAGAAATTTCTCATACAAATGAGAATTTTCAATAGGGTGCTGCCATTCATTTTGGCTCCTCCACTTTGTTAGGGTCAACCGTTTCATCTTTATGAGCCGCGACTGTTCGATCAAGTATTGGTGACAACGCACACTTGTATCCTTGTCACTAATTATATTACTGTGTGGTATTATAGAATATTGCTTCGGAAACGTTTTCTGTGGCATGCATGCCGTATTAGTGTAATGCCTACATACTTCGTTCAAACGTTATTTGACTAAAGACGAAGGACACAATCCCGGTGAGCCAATAAGACCGTCGAAGCCAAGCACATGACAAAAAGCGCCCGAGGATGTCTCTTATTCCGATTTCTCTTATTGGCTCGTCAAGACAGTATAGCTTTCGTCGTTTGACAAGCTATTGTGGAACAAAATATAAAAGGCTGTACGCTCTCGCTGTGCATTTCATATGATGGACTGGTTTTGCGTGTGTGACAGCATATAAACTGAAAGAAAGAAAAATATATTGTGGTTGTTCCTCGTTATGGTAGGTTCTATTAATAAGTCGCAGTCGTGTATTCTTTGTTTCCGTTGCGCGCGCAGTCTCTTATTACCACATTTTCCTTGTCTATAGCATGCCGAAACCTAAAAGAGGGCTGCGGTATTTTTGACTAACTAGATAAATAAATAGTACCCATAGTGACAAAATGTCAAGATTTTAAATTATTTTGTGAGCTGTCTTGCAGTCACTCGATTACAGCCTCATTGATGCCTTCCGTCGTTATAAATGAAAATGTCTCTTGTGAGACAATGAATTTAGAGCGAACTTTGATCTCGCCAAATCGCTCCGGTGCTACTTCACACTGAATTCTTCACGATTCAGTCAGCTTGCGTGGTGAACATACAATTGACTCTAAACAATATTTTTGCCGTTTTTTTTTTTTCTTCTTCTTTTTGACGCAGGACCCTTGAAACCACCCGTCATTCGAGATGCAAGAGGTCGCACGAAAAAAGACACCGTGGGGCCGTACTTCGAGGGTGACGAACTCCGGCTCTCGTGCGAAACACCGGGAGGTGAGTGTTGTGGCTTTCTTTGTTACGCAAAAAGACTGTGTTTTGTCAAACCCACTCCGTAGCTCGCTGCATTTGCGGCTATGGCGGGTGCGTCCGAAGACTGCCTTGAGGTTCCCGGTCGGACTCTGCGCTGCCGCAATAGGCACATTCACGGAAATGGGAAGAACCTCGAAAAGAATAGGGCTCTCCGTGAAGCAAGGCCTTCCCCGGGTGAGAGCTCTAGGGCCGTTGTTTGGACTGGTTTATGCAAAGTCACTAAATCCTGGAAAAGGAGCGCCAAGCTCGCCATATACAGGATCGCATTTTTGGTTCGTGTAACAAGTAGTTTCTCCTTCACCTCTCCATTCTCGGTGACAGTTTGCTTTATAAAGATGTTTTCTGAATACCGAAATTTTGTTATCCATACACCGGCGCAACAAGCGCACATCTTCGCATCGCCACCACATGCAGCGTCGGTGCTTGGCGGCATTAAAAACTAATTTCCCTGCCTTTAAATACGCAAGAACACCACCACCATTATAAGAGATCTGTGGAGAGAATCATGGTTGATAAGTGAATCGAATGCACAAAAGCGCTTTCTGTAGAATGATGCCCCAGAGCGATCTTGGCGCGACTGGTTCAGAACGACCCTTTCGAAGCTTTGAAGATTTGATTTGACGGCAATGGCGATTGGGGGGCCATGACAACTGAGACCAATAGCCAATCACATTGCGAGTTTCGTTCGTATGTACGTTAGTATATGTCTGTGTCTGGCTAGCGGACAGGGAAGGCAATGGTGCTACTTTCGCAGGATCCTGTGATTTTAGGCTTATGTAGCCTGCGGGAATTGAACTCGCTCGTGGTTGACGGTAGCATGTTCGCTTCCCGTTGGGGCAGACGCGTTTAAGTAAGATTAAATGATAATGATCTCTGCAGAAGGGGAACAAGGGAGGCAAGGGACAAACACAAATCTCCAAACCGTTTATCGTTTATTTTTTTAAATATATTTATTACTGCCAGCCATTGACTGGCCAAGGCAAGAGTGGGTCCATAGTCGAAAAGAGCACATAATCAGAATGCGCAATACGACATTACATCAGAAAATACGAGGCCATGCATCTTTCAAACACAGATGCGCTTGAACTATTTATAAAGGTTTCAGGCAAACTATTCCAGTCATCTATAGGTCTCATAAAGAACGAAAATTTAAATACATGAGAAAAGTACGGATAGGGATTAACATGCCTGTTATGCTTATGTCTAACAATTCTCGGAGTCAAAAGGTGAAAATATTTTTGTTTGTCTAACTTCTGGGAATCGGTAACAATTGAGAAGAACGTTTTAAGGCGATTTATTTTCATATGCGCTTCAATCGTGTGAAATCCAGCTCTATTTTGCAATTCTGTGACTGATGTGATTGATTTGTAATCATTAAAAATAAAGCGAAGCGCCTTGTTTTGTACTCTTTGCAATTTGTTTATATTTTGACACGCGTAGGATTCCGAAGCTTGGCTGGCATAATCCAAGACTGGTAAGACGAGGCTTCTGGAGGCAGTTATTTTAATTTGGGGAGAAGCGTCTCCTTAAGTTCTTCGTAAAGTCCAGAGCCGTTGAATGATCTTTTTGCATATTTGATCAACATGAAGGTTCAATGAGAGATTCGGACAGAATAATACGCCTAGATAATTATACTCTGTCATTTTTGTGAGCGATTTCTCCCCAATAAGGTAATCGAAAACTAGAGGGGTTAGCTTTTTAGTCAGCGTCATAAAAACAGCTTTATTGATGTTCAGGGACATCTGCCATTCGTCATACCATTTTTTTAATTCTTTGCAAATGCAGATTTAATTTTAGCTAGTCAGATCTATTTGTAATTTCACCAAATATTATTGTAGCGTCCGCGAAATGCTTAATACGTACAGTTTCTTCGAATTCCCTACCCACGTCACTGATAAAAAGAATAAAAAGTACAGGCCCGAGCACAGAGCCCTGTGGTACCCCAGATACAACCCTACAAGGTCGCGATTGTTTATTCTTGATATAGACCCTTTGTTCTCTCTCGTGCAAGAAGGCTTCCATCTATCTAATTATTGCTCTATTCTTAAGAATAATGTAAAGTGTATAAAGCAGTTTTGGGTGCGACACTCTACCGAAGGCTTTAGCAAAATCTAAACATATTACGTCGGTCTGACCACCCCTATCTATGCAATAGCTTAGTTCGTGAGTGACTTCAATAAGCTGCGTAACTGTTGAGCGAACTCGTCGAAAACCATGCTGGTTGTCACCTAGTATATCGTTATTCTAAAAAAAAAAGTCATTAAATGATAAGCTATTATATGTTCGAGAAACTTACACGACGTACTAATCAGTGAGATGGGCCTATAATTGCCTACAAGGGATTTGCTACCTTGCTTGTGAACAGGAATTATTTTGGCGCACTTCCAATCCTCTGGGGTCTGACTGCAGTCAAATGATTTTTTATATAGAATTGTCAGGTAGTGGGATATCCATTAAGCATATATTTTTTAGATATTCATTCGGAATCTTGTGTTTAAATTCAGTATCAAGTCGAAAACACCGGGCTGACTTATTTCAATATCCTGAACAGCAGGAAAATCAGATCCAAAGGATGGGAGCGCGGGAAGAACATCGTCATGATATGTAAAAAACGGACTGTAAATATTTATTGAAGCTTTTTGCCATATCTAGCCTTTTGTTAATCGTTGGCGAATCAACAGTGATTGTAGTAACACTATATTTTGCTAGTGAAAGATACCGACAGAACTTCTGTGGTGCTGATGTCATAAAATTCTGAAGTGTGGTGCTCATAAAAGAATATTTAGACTCGGTGATAACATGACGAAGCCGACGAGATGCGTTCACTATCTGAAAGCCTCTGAATGGTGCGCGATGGTCTCTTTTATATCCCTTTCGTAGCCTTTTCACCTTTCGTTTTTGACAAATGATGTTCCTTGTAATCCACGGATTTTTTCTAGCAATCCTTTTAGTGCGAAATGGAACAAAGCGTGGAAATAGCGTTGTTAATTATCCTTTTTAACTTTCCCCAGACCTATTCTACAGTCGACGTAGGCAAAAGAGAGTATTCATTATATTCATCAAAACTTTCATCTAGGTATCTATAATCCCAACATCGTTCGCTTTTCCAAAATTAAAGACCTTTTCAATGACACAAGAGGAAGGTTTATTCTTTTGCAAAGGGCACGCGGAAAAAGATATATGTCACGGTCGGATATGCCATCTACCACCTGACATGAGTGTTCCGCGTCTGCAAGGGGTCTACTTAGAAAAATGAGGTCGAGTAATGATTCACAATTTCCCCGTGTTCTCGTGCTAGATTTGACAACTTGGGATAGGCCATAAGAAAACGCCATATTTGAAAGCGAGCGAGAACACTCACCTTCATTACCCCTTCGTGTAAATTGTTCCAATCGATATCGGGTAAATTAAAGTCGCCAGCAAAAATTAGCTTACATTTTTTATTGGCGTGCATACAAAGGTAATCATTTAATACTGAAAATATTTAGGGTTTGGCTCGGGAGGTTTATACAGATCAACCACACTAATATGACATTCGCTTATAAACAGCTGAGCAGCTACGCATTCTATGCCATGAACCACAGGCAATTGAACACAGGCATATTTATCCTTAACAATAATGGCAACTCCCCCACCCCTTCCTTCTCGGTCCTTCCGAAATTCTATATATCCTGGTGGAATAAACTCCGCATTTCCTATTTCAGCCGTTAACCATGTCTCAGTTATGACAACATTTGGCTCATGCTCTAAAAGTAGAGACTTAAAACGGGTTATTTTATTCACAATGCTACGTGCATTCACATTCAACCAAATAAAGTTTTCAGGCAGACTCTGGTCATTCTTGCTGGTTAGGAGAACTCCGCTCAGACATTTGGTTGACTAATTGACGTGTATTAGTTCTGTCGTTCCAGGAAAAAAGCTCACCATTAAGTGATAGCTTGTTGAACACTAGGCGCGCTTTGGCACCTTGGCCTCTTTCAGCAGCACAGCATGCCCAGAGTTTTCCGCGTACATTTCGCACTTTCTTTGAAAAATCTTCACTCACAGAAATATTACTACACTTCAACCCTTCGCAATTTTTTTAGTATCTCAAGTTTTTCTCTGAAATCCACGACACGAAAGATGACTGGACGAGATACGCCACGTTTTAAACCAAGACGGCGCATGTGCTCAATGGTTACAGGGTTAACTCTTATCTTGTCAAACACGGTTGATTTAACAGTTTCAACAAGTTCACCAGCGCTCTCGTTTTCAGTCTCTTCCAGGCCAAATATGATCAGGTTATTCCGTCTAGACCTTTTTCCAAGTCATCAACTTTTTGTCTTAGGCCAGTGACGGTTCTAATAAGGTTTTTTTTTTTAACTGTTTCCTGTACCGCAGTAACACAATTTATTTGTGACTCTAATTGGCTTAACCTTTCTTCGAGTTTGTTAAAGTTTTCGCAAGTTTCGCTGACACTTTTCTGGATCGACCGTTGATCGCGTTTAATATCATTCAGAACATTCCCTTGATCTTTCTGAACTTCCATGATCATATTAAGTTTATCGTCGGGACTTTGGTTTGGTCCCGGATTTTGCTCTACGTCACCACTCAAAACTAACAACCGCCTCATGAACTCATGAACAGCACGAAAACAATATTTCATCAGCAAAAACAACTTGTGGTGGCATGACACGGCATTAAGGCAACGTTTGTCACTACAGACAGAAGCCGTTTCATGGCTTACCTGCAGACAGGCCAAAGAAAACGGGTTTGTAAACATGTCACGATGCGTGCCGTGTGCATTACTGGCACCTAGGCGTCCGTGCAAGTCATATATGGGTTCCCGTGGCGCTGCTGTCGACGGTGCTTCAGGAATGGGACCAATCTACTCGCTGATGTACGGTGGCGTTGTATGCGTCACTTCACATGTTTCCCGTGACCAGGCGGTGCAGATAAGGTTGTCATCCTCGAGTGGGGTGGAT